CCCGGCCGCTGCTACTGCAGTGGAGTCCCGGGCCTTTTAAATCGCCACCAGAGCCCCGGGGCTCCTGGCTGCCGCCGCAGCTACCGCTACCATGGGGCTCCAGCAGCGATATAAAGGGCCCAAGGCTCCCAGCAGCTGCTACTGCAACCAGAGCTTCGGGTTTAAAGCCCCCCCCTCTTCCAGTTGAGGCCCCGCCCCTTCTGGTTGAGGCCCCGACCACCTGCTCAGGACCTTGGCCCTGCGTACCGGTAAGTCCTTTAAATTACTTTCACCCCTGGTCCTGAGACACACCCTCCCTTGGTCTGACCTCACCTCTTCTCGTGAATCAAAATGTTGTCAGTGATTTAAGTTAGGGAGAGTCTCTCCTGCTCTGACTTGCCTGCCAGTCCTTTTTATGTGGTGATGGTTGCTCTCCCTCCCCTGCACACAGCAGCTCCTGCTCTTATGTAGGCCTCTGTCTATCTTCAATGTACTCCACTAGGGACCACCAACTTCCCTCCAGTCATAACCACCACTTTTGAGGAAAGTCAATTGTTCCAGGGGGATGGGTTGGTAGTTAAGAAACACATATGATGATTCTAATCTTGATGGCTTCTCAGTGATAGTGTTTCAGTGAGGTATCAAGCCTCTTCCCCAAGTAGAGCAGCTGCCTGGAATACATAAGAGGCTGCCTTCAGGTAAGTTTAGTTATATGTTCAGCATATAGTACAAAATGGAATTAATAATATGATACAGAGATATCTCACTCTGATATAGCACACACAGTAGCTCCACAAACTACATGGACAGAATACCTATGTAAAAGATGTGTAGCAATAAGTAGCCATTTATAGCTTGAAAGCTGCAGTAATAACTTTGAGGTGGTTGCACCAGTGCTCCGCATCCTAGCTCCAGGATGGGAAGGAAAATTTAATTTCCTCCCCCTACACATTCTAACATAGATCATCCGCACAAAGAATATTTACTAGGAGTTTACTTGGGCAGACAATAAGAATTTGTCTCCAAGGGTCCACATCTCTCTCACTGTGCAATTGGGAGAGATTATGGACATTTAGAAGAAAACCTTCAACTTGCCTAAAGAAGGATCAGGCCCTAAATTTTGTATTTTTAAATGTTCTTTATAGTATTAGAACAAATCATTGTCTTATATTTTATGTGCATAATATGGTATTTTAGAAATCACTGCAGTTTTTGTTTTTATGACATATTTATTACTCTCCAATCTACTGTCACTAAAGAAGAGAAGGTAATTGACTTTGCATTTACTGTAGGATGTCATTTCTTTATCCTGTCTGAAATTTTTCACTAAATTGATTCTGAGGCTAGTCCCCCTGGATGCTAGCACAGATGGCCTATTGCAACTGTCAGGCTACAATGAATGTTGGGCCAGTTAAGGGATGTATTTTCATCTCTATACATGAGAATTTATGACCATATAACTCCCATTAGTGCTAGTGGGAGTTAGATACTTAAAACCCTATTTCATGGAGATGAAAGTATATATCTAAATTGGAAGGTGAACTACTGTAGTGTGGGTTCCCATATCATGAGCATAAACAGAGTGGTTATTTGGTTTCTTAAGAAGTTGGTGTTAGGTACCAGCATTTTTTGCTCTTTAATTATTTTCAGATTTTAAAAAATATTTTAAGACAAGTACAAGTTCAAATATAAAAGTGAGCTGTACAAAAAAGCCTTAATGGTTATTTAGTGTGGAAGAGAGTAGGAAAAAATAGGAGATTCATCCTCCTCCTTAATAATGAATAATAGAATATCTTTGTATCACTTGTCCAAGTTGAATCAATGCACACTAGCTAAAACCAAAGAATACCAAAAAGAAGGAAGTGAAATAGGAGATAAAATTGGTGGATGATTTTTGTGTTAGAGTACACAAAAGCTGTAGTGTGGAGGTTTCAGGTATATATAATCTTGCTTTATGAGAGCATTATCTTTGGAGACAGGTTTAAATTTGACTACAGCTGTTCTCCAACACAATCACAAAGACTTATTGTTACCATGTAGGTTTCTGAGCAAACTTCCCCTCTGAAAGTGTTAAGGGCTTCATCTTTTTTCAAATAGAATCAAATCCTAAGAGCTTTGGAAGAGGAATTTGTCCAGATACAATTATGAATGCAGGTTACAGAAGAGATTTAGTATTATTGAACAATAAAATCCAGTATGTACAATGTGAGAGGCATTCTTCTTTCATGCTCTCCCATTATACAATATGTTCAATATGCTGCCAGAATTTGAGAGAAAGTATGTTTCACAGTAGCATGGTGAAAGGATATCTATCTTTATACTTACATGTACATATTTTACTATGTGCTTCCAGTATGACCATCCTTACAATATATAACTATCTTTCTTTTTGTTTTACAGCAAGCACTGTGATTATATCATGCATGGATGCTTGTTCATTAAATAATGTCACCTTTCCAGTCTGTGCTTTTAACAATTCTTCTGAAAGCTTCCTGCAACAAGGAAGTAAAAAACAGACTGTTTTTTTGAAGGTCTTTATAAATTACTTTGATTTTCAAAATACTCCAAGTATTTGCCAAGTCTCCAGGACTGAACTGCAACCATGTATTTTAAACTCCACCTGTGAATCCGAGGATGATATGAATGTTGTTCACCAGGGATCAAGATCAGAAGGTAAAGAAAGAGAACAAGGGAAAAGAAGTGCTTATTTTAGAGGTAGTTAATTACACTTGCATACAATTTTTTCATTTTTTTGCCAGTTAAACAATCATGAAAATGTGATAAGCTTTATACTGATTCCTTAATCATAAACTCCTGGAAAACTGTGTGAATATAGCTTCTTGGCCTTAACAGCTTATTTTTGCATTGCTACAAAGTGCATAATTAGTGCAAAATTCTGACCTCAGATACATAGGCAGTGTCATGAATGCAGAATTTATATTTAAAGCTAAATCCTGCCTTCTGTGTTGCGGCCTCATCAAAAGCCTATTGAAGTCAAAGGGAGTTTTTCCATTGACTTCCATGGGCTCTGTATCAGGCTCCTGGTGCAGAAGGTGACGTTATGGGAAAGAGTATAGAAATACTCTTTTCCTCCCTCTACCTATTCCAGCAGCCAGCCAGAATACATCCACATATCCTTAACTTATACCATGATATGTTTCTAAAAGTTTGCACCTGTCCATCCTTCCCATCTTCATGCATTCTGCTTAAATCCTTAATTTGCCCCTAAAGGGCATCCTTCCTGTCATCAGTTTTCATGCAGAACTCCTTATTGATTTCAATGTGGAGCACTACTATGGAATATAATTAATCAAAAGATAGTTTTCCTGTGGTGGAAGGGGACATTGAGAGAAAATATCTGAAGAATGGCTTTGAAGACAGGATAATAAAACAAATAATGATTAATAAGAGTAGACTGTAGTTAGCGCTATACAAGTGCATGGGTAGCAGAGAGCTAAAAGAATCAGTGTCAATATTTGCAATATTGAGGGTGCTTAGTTCCAGAGTGACATTAAATGATTCAAGTAGGACAAGACTGAAAAAGCCTCTTTCCAGCCATCCAGGGCAGAGCAGGGAAGTCAGAATCTACACCTTTTCAGAGAGGGTCTCATTCTCTCTCTCTGGCATGCACTTCTCTAATGCTTCTGGAGACATTCTGGATTTTGCCCTCTCAACATGGGCTCCGCCTACTGTGACAAAGTTGGAATTTTCTGTAATATGTTTATGAATCCTAGGCATGCCTCAGTTTCCCTCTGTATGTTGCATTGCTATCCAGTGGATACAAAAGTGTTAACACTGTTCCTGGAACAGTGCAGGAGGCAGAAGGTGTGTATGTGTGTGTGTCACATTGCTGTCTGGGGGGAATGAATACAATCATTAAAGAACTGGCTCAAACTGACCCAAATTAACAGAGGGTTCAGCAAGACAGAGAGATGTCCCAATCACCATATAATAGCAGGAAACTCCAGCAGGCAGAACTTGAGAACTGAGCTGGAGAACAAGATGTCAGGTGACTGGCTGAAGGGGGCTTTTTGGAGGAGCCCAGACTGGGAGAGACCAGAGGGGACTAGAGACGGAGCCAGAAATGGAGTCCGTCACAGCTTCACTGACTCATCATGGCACTCCTTTGACCAAGGTTGGACTATGGCTTAATTTCTGCCTCTCTGTGCTGACCTAAGGACTTTCAGATTCTGTGTGCCAGATGACTACTAAATGGGTACCTTGTTTTGGAAAGGCTGCCTGTGTCACTGCAAACACTCACTGAAAGCACTGCGCCCTGAACGGGTACTGTACAAGCCTCCTGTAGGACCCTGGCTTGGCTGGATTCATTGCAGGGAGCCACGGAGAGAGATAAGGATTGCTAGTGCCCATGGCTCAGTTTTGGAGTCATGGAGGTCATTGGCCTTCCCCTGTGGAACTGTATGGGTCCTGGGGGCCTGGCCTACTAAAGGGGTCACTCCCAGGAGATTAGTTACAGGCTGGAGCATGGACCAGACTTTGTGACTCTGTGACACATGCAAAAGCCAGAATAGGACCCCGAATGAGCAAGTGCCCAAGTCTAAGATGTTGTTATTTTCAAACTGCATGCATAAAAATTAATCCTCTAGCTTTTACAAATTAGTTCCCTGTACAGATTTGGAGAATAACCAAATAAGAAGTATATGGGACAAATTCTGCCCTCATATTCGCTTGTGGAACCCTATTGATTTTGACAGAGGTATATGGATGTTACTGAGGGGAAAACATGTTCTATGTTGTTGACATGGACATGGTAGAAGCCCCATAGCTTGAATCACTTAAAATTGGACTGGGCAAAGCTCTGGAAAATATTCTGAAATGGCAAGGAGATGGGCTAGATAACCTAATAGGTCATGTCTAGCTCAAACTTCTATAACTTTCACATTTTTATTTTTAGTTTAGTGTTGGTCTGTGTTATCGCTGACAATGACAAATTCCAAAAAAACTTTTGCAGCTGGTAAATGAAGTCACTAATATTTACAAGGAAAACACATTTTGTATAGCAAAATCAATACAACTTAGATCCATTCTGAAGGCTTATTACATATCTTATTGTCCATTTTACTACTAGTCAGTAATGATGAAGCTTACCGTCTATTTATAGGAATAGGGTTTAGTAGTGAGTTATGGTACTTTTATTTTGTAAGTACAATGTGCTACATAGCACATCTTAATGTTTTTGATTTATTTGTATTTCCAGAAGTGAGAGGATCATTAGATATGAAAGCAAAAAAATTTATTTATTTCCATAAACATTTCAATTTCACTGTGGGTTATGTGAATGAAGAAAGTGAGGAATACAACATTTACTATATACTGGAAGTCCTCATTAGAAATTCTACAACCAGAAGAGGAAACACTACAGAAGAAAGCATAAATCACTCATGTATAGCAGCAATGACGGAAGACCAAAATGGCTGTATAAATATTTCACTGCAACTACAGCCTTATGTGGAAAGTAAGTTATGAAAAGGGAATCGGAGGGCAAATCAAACATGGAACTAATATGAATCTTACACTAAGGAAGGAAAACTTCCAATAGGCAACCATATGCAACTGTTTGAAAATATCTCCCAAAAATTGAGTGCAATTTTGATCACCCTTTAGTGAAAGGCCACCTGAGTTGGACAACAAATGGTCTTTAGATAGTACCTTAAGGTAGATTTGCTGTATATTTTTGGAAACAACCCAAGAGCGCTAACATCTGTGCCTTTGATTAACCTATTTTCTGGCTTATAGTTCAGAGATTGATTGAATTTGTGTTTAACAAGAATTGATTTTTCTTATTTTTATTAGTTTATTTTGCCAAAGTTTTTGGCACAGTCCTGCTCCCTTTGAAGTAAATGCCAAAATTCTTGTTGACTTCAATGGGAAAAAGGTCAGGCTACAATGTCAGTGTCATGATGCAATGTTTCGCTTATATTCTAAGTCCAGTATGCTTCAGGGAGAAGTCTTAGTCCAGTCCTTGTGAAGACAATCTTTTTCCAGAGGCTAGCCTGTCAACTCTTTAAATTTCTTCTGGTGCTGCATAGGCCTTTTAAGAGTCTTTTCTGTCTGATTGTCTGTCACACTCAATGTCATAGAACATTTGCCATTGGGAAATTGATGAACTCAAGTATTGTTTATTATTTATTTATGTATTGAAAATTCTAGATTTTTAAGTAGGTTGTGTCTTCTCTTGGGAAAAATAGGTGTGTTCTTCACTCGAATTAGCTAACTCAAATTAACTAATTTGAGGTAAAATCCTAGTGAAGATAAGGCAGTTTTCAGTTTTCACACAATTAAGTAGGTTCAGTTGAAGTCTAGGCTGCCTCATAGTCTTCCACTCGATCTACTAACTTGTGTTAAAGTTACAATCTGTTAGGTCCTCACTAGAACTTTACCTCAAGTTAATTAACTCGACTTGAGAACACTTTTTTCCCTTAGAAAGACAAGGTCTAAAGTTTGGGAGGTGTCCAGAGCATCAGGGAAATAAAAATCAATAAATATAGGGTAGCCAGGTGGGGAAGAGCCATAAAAATCTGGCCTTTGGAAGGGGAACGCATAGGTATGAGGCTGCCTCTCAGGGGCATCTTATCCATGAGAATTGGGAGCTACCAAATGGAACCATCTTGTTACTTACTGGGTTCCTCTGTGGTTTCTCAGTTGTAACCGAGTAGGGGACCCAGAGGAAGTTAATACAGCTCTAAACGATATTAGCTACTGAAGAGATTTCCATGTGGAACTCGTGGGTTTCTGTAGCAGGTATTTCCACAGAGAATAGCCTCCTTCCCATACTTGCCCGGCCCCCAAGATGCTTTCTCTCAATAGAGCCCTAATAAATGGGATTTCCCAGGAGGTGGTCTTGGAAGTGGCACTCCTCTCCCTTTTTGCACAAGCAAGAAGATTTCCATAAGCACCATGTTCCTCCCTCTTATGCATATGCAGTTGGATTATCTGGTTGTGGACACAAGAACAGGTGTACGTTGTACACTGTGCATGTTCCTTCTATTTCTCATCAAAACATATGCCCCTTTTTTGTTTATATCAGACCCCCATGTAGATGTTGATTTTTGCAGTATCTTCTCATTGACAGAGTCACATATAATTTACACATGAGTTGTTAATTCCCATATTTTACTTAACTATCTCAGACATGCACTGTGATACATCCAGATGAAGATGAAACTTAATTCCAGACAACCCTACTGCAACTATGAAACTTAATTCCAGGCAACCCTCCTTCTGAACAGCAGGGGAGGGAAGAGAGAGGCAAAGGTGTTTTGACTTTTCTTTTAAATTTGTAAGCCACTGAGATACCCTGGTGATGGGTATGGTATAGCTATCTAGATAGAATGATGGATGACAGAAAAATAATTATGTATTGCTTTATTTTATCTCTTCTCCATTTTATTTTATAACAGATACAATGTGTATACCGAAGATCATTTGGCTTGTTCTGATTCCATTTGTTTTTGTGCTTACTGTCATTACTGTTACCTACAAAGTATTCCAAGAAAATAAAAAACACATCCGTAAGTAATGAAGGGTGAAGCTATATAAATTTAAATTCCTATAATTTTTAAAAAGTACATTCAGCTTTGCAATAGGCTATGCCCTTATTTATTAAAGCAGTTAAAAAAATTATGTTTTAGTTGTAATATGTGATACAATTAAAATAATTGCAGATGGGGGATTAGAAGGCTCAGCAGATTGATAATGTAATCTTTCCCCACTGGATCACAGGTTCAAACCTAGCACAGGTTGGCAGTGACTGAAATATGTTAGCAACTGACTGATGCCTGGTAGCCTATGTGAAATGAGCTGATGGTTTGAGTCCAGTTCTCGGAGATAGGAAACCACAATTAACGCCTTTGTTCAGAGTCTCAACAGAAGAGCCAAAGACTGAATAGGCATAGAAATTGAAATATCCTCTTGCTCCTAAAGATGATCCCTGAAGGCTAGGATTGAGGCAAATTAGGTAGATATGATGAAGCATTCATGGCAGCTGCCTGTTCTGAAGACTGATAATCCAAATTCAGCCCTGGTGCAGTGACACAGAGGTTGCTCTTGCTTACACTGAAGCTGAACTTGTTCAGTGCTGTTAATTCAGCACCATGTATGCATTTTGAGTATTTAAAAAAGCATTTACTGTGCTACAGAAGAGTTTGTCTTGAGTTCAATGACCAAAATAATTTTCTAAACAGTATCTTCAACACTACAAGCTAAATTCTGGCTGCTCCCAAGTGAGATCAGTTAGAGTAGAGGCTACATAGGGAACTACCTCCCGCCTAGTAACCCAGCACTCCATTGAGAATTAGACTTCTGGGCAACTGACATAATGCCTGCACCCAGCAACACTCTTCTGTACTGAAGGAGTGTGGCCAGCTGGCCTTTGGTACAAGCAGGTTTCTGCTTTCTGTGTGACTACCAGAACTCTGAGACAGTAGATGCGGAGGGGAGAACATATTGCTCCTTTCACCAGCATGTAAGGAGAGTTAGTAAGCAAGCTTCCATCACACAGTGCTCACTAAGGCATCTGCCCAAAGCATCCAGGATGCCTCCGAGTACTAGCACTCAGTTGTTACAGCTTTGTACTCTCCCGGTGCTCCAGAACTGAGCAAAGCCAGAATTTTTCATTACTCATATGGCTAAAACGATATCACTTATGTGCCTTTAGCCATCCTAACACTGTGCACTGTCAGCCATTTCTGTAATAAAGGTACACTGTAGGATTCTGGCTTTAATCATAATTGAACAAGAGGAAGAAAACTAAATGCATGGAAAATGTTTCTATTTAAAGGAATCTGAAAGATTATTTAAATGAATAAGCACTAGAGTTGTCTAAGATCCTAAATCTGAAGCAGAATACATGGATGAATTTACAAATCAAAAAAAGAATATATTTTAAACTATATCATTAGAAAATTATTTTATCTTTTTATTTATTGCCAGAACCTGAGTCAGAGGTTTTTTACATTCATTTTTTAAAATACCGGAAAAAAAAATACAACACATAGGCCTGAACTCATGTCCTAGCATGTAAACTAAAACTATTCTATCTTGTAGTTTAATATTAAAAATATGTTAATAGTAATTTTAAGATTACCTATGCATTTTAAGGATTTAAGAGTAAGATTTTATAGCCTTTGGATCATAACCTGTGATTGTAATGCATAAATTTCTAAGGTAATTAAACAATTTTTTTCTATTTATTCTTAAACAACTCATTCCATCTTCAATTATGAGTTTCTCAGCATTTTCAAGGACATAATCAGTGAAGAAAAATATTATTTAAATTTTCAAGCTTCTAAGCTTCCAATTACTGATTTGATTCTCGAATTATAATTTCTATTAATTGATAATTATTTTAATTAGTTAAATGTAGAATGTTATATTTCATAAAAGCCCACATTAAAAGAATGTTAAGGTTACAAAGTCAACCACACAAAAGTTAGAAAATGCCAGAATTTAAGATTGCCTCTCCAATCTGAATTCCACCCCCTTGTGCATATGCATTATGATACAGTCTTTAATTACATACTAGATGATTGGTGCCCCCCTGAGTATGGGGGGGTCACGAGATAAAGGAGAAGACATGTGACCTCCCCAATCCATGTTACCTGGGGGGGTGGAGGGCTTTGTCCTCCTGCTGCACCAGCTCCCCCCCGGCATGTTCAGCTGCTCACAGCCAGACCCCAGAGTCACTCCCAGATGCTGCCTGGTGCAGTACAGCAGCTGCCTGGGAGAGTGCCTGGCTGCGGCGGCAGCAGGCTGCCTCCCACCCGGGCTTGGCTTCCTGGACAGCGGCTGTGTGAGTCAGAGCCTCCCCACTGCCCCCCATAATGCTCAGAGTCGGCTCCTGTCCCCAGAAACTGAGCCTGGGCAGGGAGGGGTGGCAGCGGCAGCCTGTTACCTCCCCAGGCTTGACTTCTGGGGACAGGAGTTGACTCTGAGCATGCCGGGGAGGGGAAGGAGTGGGCCATCCGACTCACTTGGCCACTGTCCCCAGAAGCTGAGCCTGGGCGGGGTGGCAGCCTGCTGCGGCTGCAGCCAGGTGCGCTCCCAGTCAGCCACTGTGCTGCACCAGGCAACGTGCTTGGAAGAGGCTCTGGCCCTGCCCCTTCCTCTCCCCACCTGGGCCAGCTGCTGGAGGGGCACTTGATTCTTTGTGTCCCTCCCAGGAGTCACCTCAAAGCCTCATTCAGTGCACAGGATGGACAGTGCTCAAGGAATGAGCAACTGTTCAATATTTTTATCCTCATAATTCAATTAGTGGCTCTTGCCTTATTACTGTATACCATTCAAAGCATGCAACTAATACAGAAGTATTCATTTCCTTCTAGGCTTTTCTAGGGTTCTCCTCACTAATATTTAAGTGTCTCACAAACATTACAGAATTTATCTCCAACGTGAGATATGAGAGCATTAGTATTCCCATTTTATGGATGGGGAAATTGAGATGAAAATTTGCCTGAGGCTACAAATGAATCAGTGGCAAAGCCAGGATTAAAAATCAGGACTTCAGGCCCTCAACCTTCCTGTCATTCCTCCAGACTGCCCTACTGCTGTGCATCCATAGCTCCCATTGACTTTAGTTGCTGTTATGAGTGCTCAGCACTTCTGCATATCAAATCTTACATGTCTTTAATTGGAGTTTCAGAAAATGAGGAACACACAATTAGAAGCTATCTACCAAAATTTTGGCTTTAGTACTTTTCTTGGTATCATATAGGAATACTGCAGCAAAGACAGAGATAGAACTAAACTTATCTTGACTTGAAGACAATCCTTTCTGTATTCTCTTTGCCTTCCTTTCTACATACCTTCAAATGGGGGCAGGGCTCATACAAATAGCTTAATCCACTATACAATCCTGATTCTCCCATTTTTCAACTTTGGAGTGCTTGAATTTGTAACCTAAACAAGGTTAATTTAATTGTGAATATAATTCCCTAGGGTTTTTTAAAAGGTAAAATCAAATTCTATTAGAGAACTGTAACAACCATCCATAACACTTCATTGGTAGGGTTGAACTCTGAATCATCAGCATTGCAATATAGTTTTACTACAGAACTAACTACATCAGCCTATATCAAGAGCAGGCTTTTGTCCTGATGGGGCATAGGGGAGAATGATTGCTAAGATCAGGTGTTGGATCCAAAAGGTGGTCAAGGGTAGCTCTGCCCAGTTCTCTCTCTCCCCATTTCCCCCTGGGAGGGGTGTGTGTGTGGTTCCTTCTCCATGTGGTGCTCTCATAGAAGAGGACAGGTTGCTGGGTCCATGAGGAGGGAATGTTAGGGGGGAAGCTCAGCCTCACTCCTTCTCTTTCTGCTCCCAGACAGACTGTCTGCCCCCAGAACTCCCAGTGCAATATGTGATGCTTCTGCTTTAGCAGTGGTTTGGGCCTGCCCTTAGATTAGACTATTCATGTTCAGTTAATATTTTGGGAGGCTTCCAAAGTTATCCTGAGGTACATAAGTGTCTAAAAGGAAAAGATAATTTTCAAAAGCCAAACCTGAATGGAATTTCACTGGACAATGAAAAATCTGGCATCAAGGTTTTCTCTTGGCCCAATTTCCCAGTCTTGCTGTAAACAATGAAGGCATTAAAGCAACTTAAAAAAAAATCACAAGGCTCTTTTATAAAGGAAAATGCTAGGCAACCTAAATATAGGGGTTGCTATGAGCTCCCCGGTAACGAAAAATATATATGTAATGATACAGCTGAAGAAAAACTATTTTTGTTTTAATCAGATAGCAAATATAGAGCAACGGCAGCTTCTGTTATCCAACAAAAAGACAGCAAAAGCTCAAAAGAATCTACACCTACTAAAGTTATTCAGCTCCTTTCAGGTGAGTAATATATAAGCAAAATAGAAACCTAACGAATTCTGAAACAAAGAGAGGGGCCAAGAAAGACCTTCTAAGACATCCTGTCTTAATCCCTATATTTTGTAGAATTCTCACTACATCTTTCACAATGTCTCTTCTGTCCTGCTCTAAGACCTCAGCAATGATGGTACCGTGACCACTTCTCTTATTAATCTTCTCCATTACTCAGCTATGCTCATTGAAGTCAATGGGATTTTTGCTGTTGGCTTCAAAGAAAGCAGGAGGAACATAGCCATAGTTAAGCATGTTTTCCTAATATGTAGTCTAAACACTTCTTTCTTTTGTTTCAAACCATTTTTCCTTGTTCTGCCATCTCCTGAGACTATGAATAACTCCCTTTATGTATTTTGTTTAACTTGTACAATTTAACAGACTGTAATAATATCCCTCCTGAATCACCTTTTTCTTAGATGATAAATATTTAGCTGTCTCAGGTTTCCTCATATATTCTAATCCTAGTATGTTGCCCCGTTATTTATTTTTTTCTAGATTTTGTATCTCCTTCTGAAACTGGGGGTAATTGAAACACACATTTGTTTTACATGTTAGCATTCTATGTATAAATCTAAAAAGACCATAACTTTGTTTAACAACAGCATTGCACTGAATGCTCTTATTTAGGTCCAGATCCTCAGATTTCAATGAGAGTTAGGTGCCTAAATTCCTTTGAGGATCTGGGCCTTAGTATCTTACTTCTGCCCATAGGCCTTTCATAGATTTGCTGCTTTCTAATTAGCAGCCTCCAATTTGTATTTTTGCTGTTTATTTCCTATACCTGTCTTATTGTTCAGTGTTTGTACAGCACCTAACACAATAGGATCCTGGTCTAGCACAGGGTTTCTAGATGCTATGATAAATAATTATAATACCTAGCAGTATTGCCTTACATTTGTTAGCACTGAATTGGAAGCCTGTTTGGTAAGAAGCAGGAGATGACTTAAGGTTGGGGAACCGTTCCCTCCTATGCAGGGAATTGGTTTTGGGGATGGGAATAACACAGCCCTGACTCACCCAATGTACAGGAGCTAGTTCAGGAACAGGAATGCGGGAATTTGTTCTTGCATGAAAGCAGATTGAGAAGATGAGAAGACATAATCCATTCGGGTGAATGCCCTCACATGCAGGGGCCTGCAAAGAGGCAAAAGGGGAGGGGAATGGGGCACTATAATCACTTTGTTACCAGTACTGCTGTTACAGCAGTTTAGGACTGTGATGTTAGCACTGAAAACTAGAGTCACAAGCCTCTAGTGTTTGTAATGAAATCCGACAGAAAGAAATCAATGTGAGTGGGCAGGCCAGGTACATAACTTTGCCTCAAGAAATTAAAAAGCAATTGTATGGCAGGGATAGCGTGGATTGTCAACAAAGAGAGGAAGTCATCTGTATAAAAGCAGAACTTGTGTCATCCCTTGCCTGACAAGCACTCTGTTCTCAGCTCAGAACAAATGAAATGGGCTAGCAAACAAATGAATCCCCATGTCATGTGGAAATAACTCTGGGTCAAATCCTGCAGCCTTCTGAAGCACCATAGAAGGCCTTATACACTGGTGTGACTTACTGTGAGGCATATCCTAGGCATGGAAAGGCCACACAGGGTGACTCTACTCTTCTTTTGTGCCATTGCACTGGAGTTCGGAGCATACCTGTAAAATGTCCCTCAAGTCACGTGAAGGCGTACAGTTTAGTTCCAAAGTTACCTCCTTCCCACATAAAGATGGCATTCACTCACTTTTATTGTTGAAAATTATTTATATCAGAAAAAAAGAACTGTGAAACTGAGGTTATAGAAAGACTTGTGTGCACTAAGGGAATGCTGCCACAGCTTTTAAATTTCCTGCATCAATAATTTTGTTGTGTTCCTCATTTTTGGTTTCCTGTCACGTATTGCATCTCACATCAGGGCCTTGGCAGATAAGGTATTGTGGCCTGAGGCTCTATGACTATGCAAGCTCATCTTGACTAAAGCCCACATTAAAGAATAGATTCAAAACTATAGTAGCAACTTGAAATGGCTGTGCTGGTTTTCTGGATTCCATTCCTTCCATCTGCACAGAACCCATTGATATGGCTTCAGGCAGGAATCAGTATTTGACCTTCTGAATGTACATTATTATTCAGCCCAGGGAGACTCTGGTGCATGGCTCAACTCACTGCAGGGTTGAGTGATAATCAACATACTAAACTGAGGAGGTTATTCAACTTGGTCAAAATATCTTTGTTGCAAGACGGGAAAGAATAGTCCTGGGCTCAGAGTATTATTGATATTACTAGAAGAACCATACTGTTTAATACATTCCATGTAATTTGATTTCCTTATCTTTTTATAGATTAACACAAACCAGGAGTCCTCTGAAATAACTGTAAATGGCTAAAATAAAATAAAATCCAAAGTCGGCAAATGGGAAAATAGTTTTTAAACTGTCTAGACTTGGGCACTTCACTGTTCATTCAGCATATTAGCAATAGCCTTGTCTTGCCAATTCCTTCAGCAGTTCAAGAGCCTCAATAATTTCTCTCTACAATCCAGTAATTTGTGGCATTTCAATCTTACCTAGAAAAGAGCAGATAGCTTCCTGTCTGCCTGAGCACTCTTGGGAATACAATTTATATTCCCAACATTTAGAGAGCTGGCTAACTTCTGAAGATGTATTTATGAGCTCATTATTTTCATCCCTCAGGAAAGGAATCTGTCTCTGAAATCTTTTGTCTTTAGTAGCTCTCACTAATAACATTCTTGTTTTATCACTATGTTCACAATAGCATTGGTTAGCACTGTATGTCTAAGGGTTTTTTGACCATTGAGTGTCTTATGAAATCCCAGTGTAGATTTATGATGTTGAAGAAAGAACACGATATTGGTCTTAATGTTATGCTCCTTCCACTCCAGGCTACCCATTTGACTGAAAAGTTTCTTGCTTATGAACTGTTTTTACTAACACCATGGGGCTGATTATGGAGCCATTCGCTGGTTTCAAACCACCATAACTCCATTGACTTGAGTGAAGTTACTCCTGGTTTACACCCATATGACAAGCAGAAACAAGACTACATGGAAAGAACTGCTGTTTCTCCTAAGCACTAGTTTTAAGATCTGCCATTGCCACGATGGATTATAAATATCTACTACCTCCATTGTCTCAGAGAGCCATACTCTGACTCTCTACATATTAGAATACATTCTCCTACTAACCTGTCTTGCTCATGACAATGCAAAGTTAACTTTAATGAACTTAGGACATTTTTTTTAAATGAAGTTATGATACTCCTGCCTTTCAACATTATTAAATTAGCATTCACGTTATAGAAGTTGAAGACAGACTATGAATAAAGCCCAATAATGTCACTGAATATAACAAAGATCATTATGTAGAAACAAATATATAACTGAGAATTCAGTAGCTTGTGAATTGCGAGGTATATTTTTCCAATACGTTATTTTGTTAGGTTTATTTTACCATCACATCTGTATCACTCAACAGAAGTTTTCTCTGTGATTTTGTTTTTTAAATTCCAGTGGTAGCAGTTATTTTAAACAAATAAACATTAACCTGATGTGTTTGCAAGCCAAGCAGTACCACATTAAGAAACTGAAACTGAAAATGATTATATAAGATAAAAGTAAAAGTGATTTAATTGACTTTCTTTGTTCAGGCAGGAGGACACTGCATAAGTAAGCAAGCAATATAAATGATGGAAAGGAAACTGGAATATTTAAAACTCTTTCCATTTTAATTTTAACAATCTATGACATTAGTAACATGGTAAATGAAGCAATCATAGAATCATAGAATATCAGGGTTGGAAGGGACCTCAGGAGGTCATCTAGTCCAACCCCCTGCTCAAAGCAGAACCAACCCCCAACTAAATCATCCCAGCCAGGGCTTTGTCAAGCCGGGCCTTAAAAACCTCCAAGGAAGGAGACTCCACCATCTCCCTAGGTAACACATTCCAGTGCTTCACCACCCTCCAAGGGAAATAGTGTTTCCTAATATCCAACCTAGACCTCCCCCACTGCAACTTGAGACCATTGCTCCTTGTTCTTTCATATGCCACCACTGAGAACAGCTGAGCTCCATCCTCTTTGGAACCCCCCTTCAGGTAGTTGAAGGCTGCTATCAAATCCCCCCTCATTCTTCTCTTCTGGAGACTAAACAATCCCAGTTCCCTCAGCCTCTCCTCATAAGTCATGTGCTCCAGACCCCTAATCATTTTTGTTGCCCTCCGCTGGACTCTTTCCAATTTTTCCACATCCTTCTTGTAGTGTGGGGCCCCAAACTGGACACAGTACTCCAGATGAGGCCTCACCAATGTCGAATAAAGGGGAACGATCACGTTCCTCGCTCTACTGGCAATGCCCCTACTTATACAGCCCAAAATGCCGTTAGCCTTCTTGGCAACAAGAGCACACTGTTGACTCATATCCAGCTTCTCGTCCACTATGACCCCTAGGTCCTTTTCTGCAGAACTGCTACCTAGCCATTCGGTCCCTAGTCTGTAGCAGTGCATGGGATTCTTCCGTCCTAAGTGCAGGACTCTGCACTTGTCCTTGTTGAACCTCATCAGGTTTTTTTTGGCCCAGTCCTCTAATTTGTTTAGGTCCCTCTGTATCCGATCCCTACCCTCTAGTGTATCTACCACGCCTCCTAGTTTAGTGTCATCTGCAAACTTGCTGAGAGTGCAGTCCACACCATCTTCCAGATCATTAATAAAGATATTAAACAAAACCGGCCCCAAAACCGACCCTTGGGGCACTCCGCTTGAAACCGGCTGCCAACTAGACATGGAGCCATTGATCACTAACACGGATGTTAACATTTCTGAAAATTTCCATTACTTGCGTCTGATGAAGTGGGCATTCACCTCCGAAAGCTTATGCTCCAATACTTCTGTTAGTCTTAAAGGTGCCACAGGACCCTCTGTTGCTTTTTACAGATTCAGACTAACACGGCTACCCCTCTGATACATGGTAAATGAAATGGTTTGTTTGGTATCTGGGGTTTATATTGACAATGACCTCTAATAATGAAGGGCTGGATTGTAACTTTACCATCTAGCCTGAATAAGGGGCAGGATGTCACTGCCCTACACAATCTGGTCAGGAACCAAGGCTCTGAGAATCAAAACCTGGTGCTTCCCCTTCTGTGCTGGTTTTGGGGCACTGGCCAACGTGTTGAGGAGCAGATCCTGCCCACTCCCCACTGTGTTCGTCCATCCCTGCCCATCTGTGTGGGAGTAGTAGCAGCAACCTGGCAGTGGTTGCGCTCTTACAACATGTAGTCTTCAAAGATGTGGGTAGCCCATGAAAGAGAGTATAGGTGCTCAGTGGCTACAGTGTGTGTAAATAAGTGAACAAGACACATTACCTCAAATCATTCAAATTTCTTATTGCCCTATTAAAAGGATAGTCCCTTGTCTCTGACATCAGAGAAAATAGTTCAAATCCTCCCTCAGCTATACCTGTGTAACCTCATTTAAGTCAATGTGGTATAAATAAGAGCAGAATTTGGCTCAATGTATAGAACAGTGTTGGCATTCCAGGGAACTCTAAGCCCAGGCCCACCTCTCCTACCTGTTCGGCAGCATTCCTTCTTGTTGAAGAAGGCAGGCAGGATGCATCTTCAGCAATGTTAAATAGATGTGAAGACTAGTTAAGAAGGAATTTTCTTTTTTTAATCTTGGCCAAGTAGAGCATCACATATTTGATTCTGTTCCTCCTCAGTTAATATTTGACATAGGTGAGTGGTTGTCTCTTCCTCTAGAGCTTAGGTGAGTAATGCAGAGAAAAAAGCAAATCTTGTCACAATATTTACAACAGACCTCCCAGCTTCAAAGACATGAAATTTAGACAGAAAAGTATGAAATCTAATGACTAATTTGGGTTTATTCCTGTGTTTTACAAGGGAGGATAAAAAAAATATGGGTCCAAGGCAGTTTCAGAGCAACTATTTTATAGTCTGTATTTGATTTCAGCTGTCCAGGTCCACAGTTATAGCCACAGACAACAGGACCAGAACACTGGTCCAATATACGCCTGGGTCATTTCTCCATTTGATATGCAGACATAACAGTGGGAGTTACACTTAGGGTACGTCTACACTACCCGCCGGATCGGTGGCTAGTGACCGATCTATCAGGGATTGATTTATCGCGTCTAGCGTAGACATGATAAAATCGATCCCTGATCGCTCTGCTGTCGACTCCAGAACTCCACCGCGATGAGAGGCGGAAGCGGAGTCGACAGGGGAGCGGCAGCGGTCGACTCGCCACCGTCCTCATGGCCAGGTAAATCAACCTAAGATACGCCGACTTCAGCTACGCTATTTGCGTAGCTGAAGTTGCGTATCTTAGGTCGACCCCCCCCCCTCCCCCAGTGTAGACCTAGCTTTAGACTCTGAAGGGAGAATGGATACATTCACAAGTCTATTTTAGCCTTGTTTTTCAAATTTAATTACTTAAATGTTGAGAGCTGAATTGTTCTTTTGAATTATATTTACAAAAAAGGGAGGCATAAATCAGAGGGCATGTTTGGACAGGATGTAGCTTAATCTAAGCAGCATAATTTGTCCTCCTCCTTGGAACATATAGAAGTTCCTTTGCAAGTTTGGAAGGTTTGTGGCTGTGCAGGGAGCAGGTGGCTCTGGAGTTAAGATACTATCTACAACATCATCCCATTTCAGAGCTGCAAAAAATGTATCATATCAGATAATGCTGATCTCTTGAGTGCTAGCTTATGAAGAGCTCCCAGCATGCTCCAATTCCTCCATTTCCTAATGGCTCAGACTCCTTATGTGGGCCCTACTACGGTGTCTTGGCTATAGGGCAGCTCCAATGCCAGCCTTGTACCCCTTCACTGCCTCCACCACTTGCAGATGTATGTCGGTAACTGTGTGATCCCTGGGAGCACTCCATGCTCCTCCTGTAGCCACAATAGCCTTTGAACATCATACCCCTTACCTCTGTGGGGTGGTTGTTCAGTCCTTCAATATGGATGATGCTCTGGAAAGTCCACAGATTGAAAGCTACAGAGTTTTCTGCTTCCCGCTAGCTAATCTACAGCTTTATATGTAAGAGGGCTTGATTTAGCCCTGAATTTGCTCTTACTAAACATGTTTCTGTATTTTCACTAAGTAAAATTTTCAAAAGTTTCTAAGTGACTCAAGCACCTAAATCCAGTTGACTTGCAATGGGACTTAGACTCCTAATAGTGGGATTTTTTTAAAATGTGCTTGAACAGATTAGGTGCCTTACTTTCATAGAAATCAAATGGGAGTTAGGTGCCTGAAGTGTAACATTCCTCAGATGTTTTTGGTATTTATTAATGTGGACTAAAACTATTTTCTCTTTTAACAGAGCCCAACCAACGAAGACCCGCAGCTATCACACAAACAGCAGAGATATTGCCTGCAATTCCTGAACATGAGCATTCTCAGCAGGCGTAGGAGGTAAACAAATACCTTAAACCTCTCAGATGATTCTGCTTTCCCATCTATTGTTAAAATCAACAGATTGACCACATGCAATATGTACTCTAAATAAATTACATCGTACTTCTGGCCAAGATGCAGGAGGTGGCGAACCTGAAAATATGTTTCACAAGAGCTAGATGGCAGGAAAACAAAATCAATTTTTCTTTTAGCACCAAGACTGATCAATAAACTAATCTTTTAGTCTGTTAAACCCTGTGTGCCCCTGAAGACTTTAGCAGAAACGTTTGCACTATTTTTATGGTGTGGAGTAGTGTGTCCTGGATTTCAGAATCAAGCTGACAGTTGTTTCTGACAAGGAGTGAGGCTATGGGAACCAGAGAAAGCAGCAGGGGAAACAATTTGCTAACGAGTCCTGAAAAGAACCAGGTGTCTGAAATAATAAATAATTTACTGACCAAATTCAAACACCAAAAAATCCACCATCAGTCCACTCTGACCACATTATAGCAGTCAGCAGAAATGACTGAAGATGTGGGTTTCAATCAGAGGTGGGGCCAACTGTGGAGTTCAGATTTACTTTCAAACTTCCTCAAAGTTCAGAAGCATCTGGATATAGGGTGCCGGCTCAGTAGTAATGGAGACAGAGACAAGTCTGAAAAGATATACTTACTGAAAGGTGTTTTAATGTCTGAAAATGAAATAGATCATATTTGAATAAGTAAAAACAAAATACTGATACAAAGCTGCATAGAAGAAAGGGGCCTACAGATACTTCCATAAAAGCTTAAGAAGATCCTTCATTATTTACATACATTAAGTCTGCAGTCTTACAGAAAGAATATACCGTACTTTTGGTTTAATCATAAATTTTCCTAAAAAAATTATTTGCTAAAATACAGTTTGTCTTCAATAGTTCAGGTGTGTTAGGAGTATTAGTGTCAATGTAGTTTTGCTGAGTTCTGCTTGCCTCTTTGGTTTTGGATATATGTACATTTTTACTAATATGTGTGAACAAAGGGATTCTTAGTAAGAACAAAGACACATTGTAAATGTTGCTTTTGCCTAAACCAGATGGGTTTGTTAATATAATGGACAAAGATAAGCACTGGGCATAGTGGGAATATGAGCGCACATGTGAAGACTGCCTCAACTCCTTATCTCAAGGCATGGTCAAGCAACCAGTCAGGAGGGGCAAAGGAGAATTTGGGGGGAAGGTAAAACACTGAAAGACCAGATAAATGCTTATACTTAAGAATATTGACCACTTATATAATGCTTTTCATTCATCATGGGATTTATGAAGGTGAAAAAGTATCACTCTCACCATTGTAAAGATGGGGAGACTGAAGTAGAGAAAGGTGAAGTAACTTGCCTAAAGACACACAGAAAGTTAGTAGCAGAGATGAGAATAGACCTCAGGTCTTCCTAGTCCTAGTCCATTGCCCAGTCCTGTGATACCGCATAGACCAAAGTGGATTTGCCTCCTCTTCTGTGAAAATTCTCCCCTCCTCAGAACCCTGTCCACCTTCTCCTCTGTACAGCATTTCCCTTCCCATGGGAACGCCTCCCAACCATACATGTCCTCAGTGGTAGTCATCTCATTTTCAGATCCCCACCCACACATCTGTCCATTTCAGATTAGGGTGACCAGACAGCAAATGTGAAAAATCGGGACAGGGGCTGGGGGGTAATAGGAGCCTATACAAGAAAAAGACCCAAAAATCAGGACTGTCCCTATAAAATTAGGACATCTGGTCACCCTAATTTCAGATAGACACTTCTCTCTTCTCTGCAGTGCGGGCATATACCTAGGTCTAGTGTTTAGTTGTGGCTAAGAACTGTCCCTCTGAATTTTCTAAGGTTGCAGTAGTATCTCTTACTCATATTCATATCACTGATCCAGAGACCACACTTTAGATCTGCTCTAGTGTCAGTTTTAAATATGACTTCAGTATCATTGCTAATTAGTCTCACATCATGCTCCCTTGGTTCATAGAATAAAATGTGCAAGGAAAGAATGATGAGCTGCTATTCGTATGCCCTAACTTCTTTCATTCCCCTATGTGGAGATAAAGAGCAAAATGACTTGTCTTTTTGCACGTGCAAAATGTGGCAGTCCAGGCTGGGCAGTTTGCATTTAGGGCCTTGTTTCTGAACATAGGGTGTTTTACTGTGTTGTGATTTACTCTCTTAGGGAGCAGATTGAAAATTTGTGCTGTGCGGCTTCCTGCCAGTCCAGTTTTCACAGACACACTCCTCTCTCTATGAAAGGCAGCTATCCTGCTCTTATTTCCAGGTAGCAGAGGCTTCAGTGCATGTATATGGTGTAACTCAGGGTAAAATTTATTCACAGCAAATGCCAAATAGTGTTGAGAGGGGAAGTGTGCCTATTCAACATCCCCCATAACAACAGTGAAGATGTAGCTATCTGTGGTACCAACAGTAAGCTGGAGGAAAGAGAGACAGATGAATGTCTGGTTCGTGTCATGAACCCCCAGTCTTGTTGCTGAATTCAGATCCTGCTAATGCCCTGGTGTGAAGTATTTGTCTTGCTAATAGTTAGGGACAGCTCAGTAGCCAATGACACAAACTTATCACACACACAGTGGCAATGTCTGTTGAAATGATTTCTTTCCTTTCTAGGGAGGAGAGACCTACTGGGTAAATACTGTAGATTTACTGCTAAATCTATGCCCCTTCTTTTTTTTGTATATATGCACTGTTCCTGGCGTCTCATTTGTTACTGCTGTTGGTAATCTCCCTGCTTTCTTTTTTCTTTGTTAAATGTATTCAGAGCAGAGTATCTCTCTGATTTTATCTTAAACAATATCTGACTGTCACTTACTAAGGTGGGAAACAAATTTGGCAAATCATGCTCTTTTTAAATTTTCATCTGAAGCTGGCTTTTATTACTGTCCAAAACACCTAGCAGAAGGGTTTGATCCAAAGCCCATTGAAGACTATGGGAGTCTTTCCATTGTCTTCAGTAGGCTTTGTATGAGGCCTATTATGCAGTGTTTAGCTCTGCTGACATGCTGAATACAACCAGCATGTCTGACTGAAGTTAACTCAACTGGTAACAAATGGTTTAATAAAGGTTCATCAGCTTCCAGCACTGCAGCTTTTCTATGTGTATCTGTGTCCTAAGTTTCCATTACAGTTCATCCAGTCTTTGTGTGGTATTTCAGGACACTCCTCACCATATTATCTGACTGTTGTGGCTGGAGGTCACCCCTACCTTTCATGTAATATTGCTACCATTCATTAAACTCCCTACCAGCACCCAGGAAAAATACAGGCCAAGCATCCCACATGTTGAGAACGTTCTCTTCAGAACACTTTAATAGCGATTTGTAAAAGGGCATGCCTGCCTTGTAGCACCTCCTTCTGCATATGACAATGCAGGTCTGCCTCAGTTTCCCATTCTCTCTCAGGCCCCCTTAAGACTGCCACACCATCTAAGGCTGTAAGACAAGATTTCCCTTGGTGGGGTTTGTTGTATCCACCAGGCAAAGTATTAACAACTTCAACAGAACTTTATTTACAGTGCAAGTCTCTTCTCCAAGCTGTAGCTGCACACTCTGTAACTCTCCCAGCCTCCTCCCCCCTCCTTCGTGTTTCCTGTCCTTTCAGACTCCCAACAACCAGTGCTTCCAGTTCTAATAATTACAAGCAGCATCTAAACACCACAGGGTTCTACTATATTAGCCTTAATAAACTTGATATAAAGTCTCTTCCAACCTACATCAAAATAAAAATCTCCCTGGCCTGCAGTTTCTGCCCTCCTTACTTCAGGCCTGTGGTTCTGGGCCTCTAGTTGCTTCCTGCAGTAACCCTTCACCCACCTCTATGTGGCACTTTCCATTACCTCACTGGGCTGAGAGAGGTCCATAGGAAGCAGTTGTTCCCCTGCTGCTGTTTCCTGTTCCCGTCTGGCTCTTTCTAGAGATCAGCTGCCCTCTATCAGGACCCATAAAGACTGTTAATGAGGCACAGGTGGACTGAACTAGTTCCCTCTTAGAGGGCCCAGTCCAACCTGTGACAGTATTGTTTATCCCTAATTTAAAAGGTGGGGAAACTAAAACAAAGAGAGACTATCCAGAACTTTAAAGCCCTGCAAGTACCTATTGTTGTTAGTGACTATGAGATGACTTGTATTTTGGTCTGCCACTCCTATTTTGGTCAGCAGCAAATAATCCCTGCCCCTCACCATTACAATGAAAAGAAAAGCAGGAAGCTGAGAAGAGTGCAGGAATCTTGGAACCTCAAATACCAGAACATACCAGAATAGTGGTTCTCAAACTTTTGTATTGGTGACCCTTCACACAGCAAGCCTGAATGAAACCCACCTCCCCTTAAATATATAAAATGTGTTTTTAACTTTAACACTATTATAAATGCTGGAGGTGAAATGGGGTTTGGGGTGGAGGCTGACAGCTCACAACCCCTCATGTAATAACCTCATGACCCCCATTTTGAGACATCCTGTACCAGAAGGATAACACAAAATCAGTTTACCAAAGTCAGACTATCAGCTTCAATTACTGACCACAGTACTTGGGACCACGAGAGGACTAATGTATAGGAAGGGGCACGTGATCCAGGTATGTTTCCGTTTCTGGCCATTCAAAAGAGAATAAGAGACAAAGAATTGCTGAAATAATAGATAAAAGAGGGCAACTAACTATGAGTCAGACCATCCTGTTCCGTGAAAAACCCATTCACTGGACAGTCTACTGTAAAGTCTAAGAGATTTGGGGAGATGACTTTGTTTTTCATGGCTCAATCTGGAAGTGTGGAGCCTGATCTCCCATATAGTAACACAGAAGATTTCAACTGAGCAGACACCTTGAGTCCTGGGGGGAGGGATAGCTCAGTGGTTTGCGCATTGGCCTGTTAAACCCAGGGTTGTGAGCTCAATCCTTGAGGGGGCAACCTGGGGCAAAATCAGTACCTGGTCCTGCTAGTGAAAGCAGGGGGCTGGACTTGATGACCTTTCAGGGTCCCTTCCAGTTCTATGAGATAGGTATATCTCCATATATTTTATATGCCCGGGGAATGACTTCTCCCAAACTCTATCCCTTTCCTGCCCCTAAAATGTCCTCTCTTAACCCACAGAGCCTGGACTATGTGGAATCACCACAAACTGACTGCAAGTTGCCAGTCTCCCTAATCTCTGTGGTGACCTATACAGTATAAGAACACAGATAGATATAGCATATGGTGGAACTGTTACAGCATCCCCATGTCAGTGTGTTGGGCCTCTGTCCCAGCCCACGTAAGGGGAAGCAGCAGCATGTTGTCAGAAAGATCATGGAAAAGGCATATCAGAAAAAACATTTAAAAAGAAAATATCATTTGGGAAATTAGAACCAGACATGAAACCAAGGGTCAGCAACACCCTGTTGCGTGGTGGACACATGACAAAATTACTGTACTTAGTGACAGACGTGTGTGTGTGTGTGTGTGGTGGTGGGGGGGGTTATGTCATTCAGTCATTAATTTTTTAAAAAATTACCACAAATCTCAATATTTTTACCATGGACACTTGTGTCCATGTACGGACACATTGCTGACCCCTGCAGGAAACAGACAATTCACGAATGAAATCCTACACTTTCACCTCTGAAAAGAGCAATATCCTAAAGTCAGCTGGATACAGAGATGCCTTTTATAAAAAAATGTGCACACTCATTTTCCTAGTTGTTGCTAGATTAAATTCACACCAAATAAATCAATATTACTGAACATGTTTTATTTACTGCATCTGTCTCTTTGGCAACAAAAGCTCCAAGGACAGGAGGGGATAACCCCAGTGTCCTGTCCAATATTTGTTCTTTTAATAAAGTAGACTAATGTCCAAGGCTGTATGAGGGCTACTGTGGGCACACATTAAAGTTTATTCTTTTTTCCTACATAATTCTGGCACCATCAGTACTTTACATTGCAAAGTGCTTTGAGGTCACTTGGATATGGACAAAGTTTCATTGTAATTTATTATTTATATCGTGCCATGGGCTTCACAGTCAAATAAGACAGGTCACTCTCCCAAGGAGTTACAATCTAAGGATCTGATACTGTTCAGTTTGCAGGATGGAGGTCTAAGATTGTCACCCTTAACTATGCTGTAACTAACAAAAGGAGGATGTGGTTATACGAAAGATTAAACTTCCTATAGCAAAGATAATCAGAAAAGAGAACCTGATTCTTTCCCTTATGTAAAATATAATGGTAGCTTGAGGGAGCAGAGCCTTGCAGGTGTGGTAGGGCAGAAGTCATTTTTGGACAATTAACTGAAAGGAGCTACATAAAATCCCAAACCCCATTCTATTTAATTTTGATCATCTTCTTTGTCATCTTCTTTTTTTAAAGGGACCCTTGCAATCTAGCTGTGTTGGGCGTGATCTAAAGCCCACTGAAATCAACAGGAGTCTTTCAATTGTCGTCAGTGGGCTTTGGATCAGGCCCCTCCTGCATTACTGGAAAGCATTCAGATACCATGATTATAGGCTCAGTATAAGAACACTAATAGAATAGGCAACTAACAATAAAGTGAATTAAAATAGTTTCAAGTAGACTCCTGCCTCAGTTTCCCTGTCAGTTTTTGTGGTTGTGGTTTTAAAATCACAGCTTCCTTACCTCTGAGTAAAGACTCACTCAAACAGTAGGAAAAAATGACTAATTCATTATACAGGTGCAACAGTGAAGCTGATAAATCACAAATGTAAAAACGAAATATGCTGGTAATAGGGGAGGAGACAAAAATAATGTTTGTCTGTTTTAGGAATCTTAAATATTTATTTGTAAAAAATAGGCAAAATATTCAGACAAAAATATGATTTTTAAGTTAATGGGGACCCTTTGATTTTCCTTAAAATATATAATGCCAGTTATACTCTGGGATACAGATTTTGTTCTGCTTTGCTATATCTGTATAATACTATAGTTAAATGTGGTGGGTTGGTGAGACTGAATGCAGTGACTTTTAGTCTCTGTAGCATTTAATATGCCAATTAGCCATTTTTGCAATGTGTGCCCTCGATTGCTGTATACAACTTTCTGGACATAGATTCAGCAGCATATGGCCCCAAATATTGTAATGAATGCATTACAGGCAAATCAGTTACATATTTATTTTCTAAATATCAGAGTGGAAAAGTTATTTTCTGCCCTTTTTGCCTCATTATAGATTTAATATGTACATTAAGTTTTAAAATCCATTATGTCTGTTAGTGTAATATGGCTTGTGGCATCACAAATTGCTGAGTATGTTTCAGAATATTTGGCACAACTAGCTGCTTCTGCTTAAAACACACACAGCACAATGTACTTTCCTCCACATCTTAGGATCCATCAGAAATTTAGAAGCTGTTAAAAGAAGGATTTAGTCTTTACATTGCTTTGGTTGCAGGAGCACCAGATTTGGCTGCAATGGGCACTACATAAACAGTTAAAAATTGCTACCTTCCATTAGCTGGCACCAATTTTGGATGCATTCTGTCCTGCTTATATTTGTCATTTTTTAGCTCACCTCAGCAGCTGCTTCAGCCAATACGAATCCCCATCCTCAGAAACACTTTTTACCAAAAGCTCCTATGGGGTAATGTGAATGAAAAATAAGGACAGAGAGAAAGACACTCTAGATGGGAGCCCAAACAGGTTAACTGCCAGAATGGGAGGCAGGCCACCTTTTGCTTTGTCACTCAAGGTGGGAATATGAAATACGTCTCAGCGCTAAAGATGGACTTGATTTAGTTCTGGACATTGTCAGAGTTTTGTATTGCTCAGATACGGAGTTCTCCTTTGCCCCATTAGAGATAAGGACTAGTTATCAGGTCTGGATAATTTTCTGCAGCCCAGCTTCCCAAAGTCTGGCTGTGACACCTCACTCATTGAATATTAGACTTTCTTTCATTTGAGAATGAGGAAATGGCTGCCCTCGTTTAATTATTGACAAGCCTGTCCCTTGGTATGCTGGCATTCTAGATAAGGATGGGATTTGATTCCTTCTTCAATCTTTCACTTGTTTGCTGCTCCTTTCCTCTCACTAGTTGATTTGGTCCCATTTTTCTGTCATTTCCTCTTTCAAAAGGGTGTCCCCGGTTGTGCTCACTCACCTCCAGTAGACATCTATTAATTCTCAAAAATACCCCAAGCATCCTCGGCACCAGCTGCAGTGATGCATCGAGGAGCTATCTTGGCAGTCAACATAAAGGATTCTGGGGTTGACTTGTCATAAAAAACCACAACTGAGCAGACACACACAAATCTTTTTTCACTATTTGGGTGAGGGAAATTTTCATGTGCAGAATCTCATTAGCCAGGAAAGAGCAGTGAGGTACAGGCCTGTTGGTGGGTAGTGACCACTGTATGCCCTTTACATTGGGTATCCTGGGCTATTGATCTTGCTCCTGTCTGAAGCATGTCCTTCATTTTGACTGTTTTTTCATTAGAATTTTTTTTCTTTTGTGATAAAAAGGAAAATTCAGTACAGTGAAAGTTATAAGAAAACTACATTTATTAAATACTTTATAAGGGGATCCACTAAACAAAGTAAATGAGAAATGGCTCTCCTTTTTCTCCCACATTCCTTTTATCTGATAATAGTTTCTTCTTCAGTTTCAGGCATTCCAGTATGAAACATAATCGATACACCATGAAAGAAGCCATCTTCATTTCCAATACATCCTTCCTGGCTACCTTAGCCACCTTTTATTCCTAAGAATGCCAGGAACCTCAGTTAACAGGATTTTATATTCATCAAAACCACTCTATTAAATATGAACAATGGATAAACTGATATGGTGCTGTAGCATCAACCTCAGTGGAAGACTATAGATTTCATATCTATTTTGGGTTCATTCAGGATTTATACTTACTCACAAAGTTGAGAGATTATACTTGCTATATTTTTTCTTTCCAGCTGAGAAGAAACTCAATTTGTATTCTCTGTGAAAATATGAGACCATTTTAAATGGAAAAATATGTATATTTTGATGGACCATGGATGTTAGTTTGTGTAATGTGAATGTCATAGGTGACAATGATCCTTAAAGGTGTATTCTCTGGCTGCTGCTGAATAAGCAAGAAGGGTCATACATCACGGGCTAAATCTTGAAGCTCTATGTGAACACAATGGACTTTTGCAGTGAAGTCAATGATAGTTTTGCATGCACAAAGACTGCAGGATCTTAATGGGTTAAGGGAAAAATGTGGATAAATAGTGCAGATTTGGTTCCAAACTATAAAACCAATTTTTTAAAACAACTCATTCGCAGCACCAAATGGATTTGGTACTACCTTGATAGATTGCAATCCTATTTTTGCACCAGCTTAGGTCATTAGTATTCAGACTCATTATCTCCTGCAACTTTTCCTTACTTTCCATTTATTACTGTTCCTCTGAGTGTAGTGGAGCTGTTTGGGCTGATCAGGGTACCAAACTCATTCTGTGCTTACACATTATTTGTGGGTACAATTTAGCCATAAATTACCAGCAAGAGGCTGAAATTGCAGAGCCAGGGCTTCTAACTCCCTTGTGCTAAATCCATCAGGATGAACAGATTGTAAACTGCCCATTGCAAATATGATATGCAGCAATTTAGCATCATGTTAATACTTCATAACCTCCATCTCTTACATTTATATGGCTCTTCCCTCCAGCAGCTTTCTGAAATTGCTTCTCTAGTCATTACACTGTACCTAGCAGTTCAGATTTAATAGGAACAATTGTGAACATTAGTTTTTGAATGGCTGAGCCTATTTGAAATTTTTATATCTAGTTGGATAAACTTGAAATATTTATTTCTACTGCTTCTGTCATCAGATTACAAAAAATCCAGGAAAAGCCTTGATTTTTTTGAGTCTTTAGGGCTGACATGTTTAGTTGTAATAATAACTTCAAACCTTCCAGAAATGGCCTCTGAAATATAGTATATAAAATAAACTTTTGCCTCTATTTGGTGTGGTTTTCTTTATTGAAACTTACAGATGGAAGAGTGATGTTTAGGTTATCTTAAATCAATGACAGGTTGCTAGTGCTTTTCTAGTGAAGATTTAAATGCTTCAAGGGATGGCACTTTCACTGCTTTCTATAGAAGACTACTCAATAATTGAAAGAGATCTCACTGTCAGGAATTTTTTCTTCATATAAGCCTATTTTTTCATTAATTTAATTCCATTACTTCTGCTCAGACCCCATTATACCAGCCTATACAATTCCTCTTTCTCCCTCCTTAGATGTCATTGGGCTAAACTATAACTTATGTAGTTATTTGATTTCCTCCTCGTCAATCTATCCAGACCTTTTTGTTGCTCTCTTCCAAATTATCTGTATCTTTCTGGTACTGAGGTGCCCATACTTGAGCACATTATTTCATGTGTGCTATTTCCTGGCTTGTGATGAGGATGACTATTACCACCTTAATCTGTGATGCCTCTGTGTATGCAGCTCAAAATCCATACCACATTGCAAATGCATATATAATATGCAGGCAAATATTCTCTCTCTGTGTTAAGAATTCTTTTCAAAACACCAGTATCAAACAGAAACTGAGAAGATCTAGTATCTTTCTGTCCCAGGACTTCATCTCCCTGTGACTGAAATTTACTTTTTTTCATCCTGGCATGTGAAAATTCCCCTTTCACATGTGCCCAGTTGTGGGTAAGGACATCAGTGGGAGAATGAAGAGGCAGCAAGTTATCAGATGCAGCACAGGAAAATAGCAAGAAAATAATGCAATGAGGCAGTTATCTCAGAACACATAGGATATATTCTTAAGGACGTGCAATGAAGAGGTGTGTGCAGGGATGTGCATGAATTTCTTCAGTCTCCTCTTCTTGACAGGAGGTGCCTCCTGCTCAGTCTCCTTCCCACAAGGTTCCTGCTCCTTTCACTTTTTCATCTTCGTATTTAAAAAATAAAATTTTTCTCTATTTTTGTTGGTCAGTATGTTTCAGTCAACCTGAATGTTTTGGTGAAAAAAAGTGTTGTCCAAAAATTGTTGCCC